GTAATAAGATCTTTATGTAAAAGTTTTTCTGATTTCACCTAATCAAGAAACGCAATAAAATCACCTTGCAGCACTTCTTATTTTTCGGTATGCTCCATAGGAAATAGCTTTGATATTGCCAATATCACAATTGTCTAACTGCAAATACATGAAATTTGCAAACAGACGTTCACAAAGACCCAGTGCTACAAGCAGACCTTGCTCTGCTTTGGCAGCTCAAACATTTCACAGCTCTCAACCACACATCAGAGCAAGACTCATTTCCACAGCAGTATCAGTTCATTGCCTAGGTGCCACTAACTTCAGCAAGACCGATTCAGACACTGATTCACACTTGATTTCTCCACCTTTGCGGAAATCAGCGATTCTGGGAGGAAATCTAACATGCAGGGTGCCTGGCACAAGAAGACCTCCCTTTCTGATGGACTATTTTGTCAATCAGAAAACTCCCAAGAAACTACCTAAATGAGGATTCGCGTTCTGAGAACAACAGAAATCTCACTGCTAAAACCACTATAGCACCAGAATTCACTTCCATAGAATTCAATCACACTGGCCAATTTTTCATTAGGAAATAAAATTTAAAAAAAAACCAAAATGGGTTTGCAAGCTTTCTGTGTTTAGAAATCCCTCTGGGTTTTTCAAACAATCTCTATGGATAAAGCTGATCGGAGAAATACAGAAACATTGAGCATGCTTAAGATTAGCATAGAATTTGGAATTTCAGAACTTGCTGTTTCCCTTAATTATGCTGTGAGAAGCAGAATTATCCTGTGGACAGAACAGAGGGTTAGGAGTTAGGGGGTCTTCTTCCTGACCCTGCTGAAAGTGTACTGTGTGCCCACAAATAAAGGACTCTGCCCATAAGGGCTCAGGCTTATGAACAAAAACAAACACACTGATACACCATGACAAACTAGTGAAGGTGGAATTTAGCTTGCAGTCTGAGACTTCCCAAGTGTCTATTACAGCTGGTAGAGAACTAGGCAGTACAATGTATAGAGAGAGTGTCCAAATGATAACTTGGCTCACTCTAAAGTAGAGGCAAGTGGTTGGTCAAGCTGAGTTGCTGCCGAGTTCGCTGCGATACAAGTTAGAGACCTGTGTCACCAACATTAAACCTCACCAATCTGCGAGACTTGGGGTCTTTCTCCTGAAATTACTCCCATCCCAGCTGACAGTTGAACATCTCTTATAGTCTTGCACACACACCAACTACAAGGTAAAATGCATCAGTTTAAGCAACTTCCACTTTAACATTTCTCTCCTGGAGATCACTGCTTCCACAACTATTATTGCAGGAGCAAAGCCAGACCGGTTAAGGTCAAATTACTTTCAGTGACTTGCAAAAACTTCTAGCAATGTCAGTAAGAATTTGGTACTGCTCATCTGGTAATTGTTATTGGTGAAAGGATTGTAACTTTCAGCAGCAGTATGAGGTAACTACCTCCCAACAGCATGGAGGTATCTGAAAAGGAGAACATCTGTCCATGGCCTGTACACTCACAGTTTCTCCAGATGTAAAATGAAGATAATTAATTCACATGAATGTTTCCAAGTGCTTTGAAGTCCACAGACAAAAGGTACACAAAGAAGTAGCTCTATCCTCATTTTTACCTCAGGAAAAGAACAATTTGCACATACAGGGAAATACAGTATTTTGGGAGCACCACTTCTCTTTGATGTAAATCCTTCATTTGTCAGTGCCATGAAGACAGACAGTCCAGAAGCCACAACATGAATTAGAGGGCAGAGAGTGCCTTGGAGTCAAAGCCAGGGACATTAACTAAGGCTGGCACTTTGTTACACTAGGAGAGATAGAGGGGGATGACAACGGCCGTGTGAACACGGCTTTTTGTGTTCCTTTTATACTTGGTAGGAATGATGGGTGCTCCACTTTTCCTGAGGAACAAAACACTTTCTCAGTTTTCCTCATATTTTTTTCTCCCCTAAAACCTGATTTTAAAAATTGTAAAAAGCCTTGATAAGAGCTATCTTGACAAGTTTTCAGGAAGCCTTCCTGCTAGCAATACTGCCAAGGAATTTTTGTTGTGTAAACACCATTTACCCTATCTGAAACACTCCTCCCGAGTGAAATTCCCATTTACTGAATTTTAAGCAGTCTCTTTCAAGAACCAGAAATTTAATAACACTTGGCTCCAAGGCTGGCAAAATTTCAATGCCAGGCAGTCTGATTATTCTTTCCATGATTATTGGGAATATCTGCCTCAACAACAACAGAAATATACAGCCAGCATATGTCTCTCTCAATCTCAGATCATACTCTGCTTCTTCCCATATGTGCCCTTATCCAGCTGCAAACTCTTCAAGCTTTGCCTCTAACCACTTGAATTATATTGTTATGTGCTGTCTATAATATAGCCTGTAACAACTGGGAAAGAAAAATATTGGCACAGCCTAAGGCAAATTGAATTGAAGATTAAAAAAAAAAAAAAAGTACAGTGGATATTGTTCAGATTACATTATTCATTTTCCTACACTATTCAATTAAATAGAAAACTTTGCCTTTTCTTTTTAACTTACCAGATGGTGCCTTAGCATTTATATTCTATGTCACTTTAAGGGAAAGACTGTGGAATTCAGGGTAGCACAATGTACATGCACTAGTGAAAACTCCTGAACATGAAAATGCTAAGATTCTATACAGATTCCTATCAGGTGATGCAAAGCTGAACTTAAAATATTAGCATCTCTAACCTTGGATGAGTGAGACAAACGGATTTTTTTTCCCCCAATTTAGAAACAGGAAATGGAGATGGGAGTAAAGGTTAAATCCTTACCTTCTTGCACCAACATTACATTTAGCAGCTATGACAGATGCAAGGCTGTACTTTACTAAATGCCATTATCCTGTCTGAGGCTAGAGCAGCCAGAAAGACTCATCCAGAGTAATGACAGGTAAGAGAGAACCACTGCGATCAACATCCATGGGCCAAGAGAGGCAGACCAAGAAGAACAGGGAAGGGAAATGAGAAAGGAAACAATGCAGAAAAGTGAGGGAAGAAAAAGGGGAAAAAAACCAATAACCAAATAGAGAGAGGTGAAGGAGACAGCATTAGAAAAGTGAGACAGGCAGGGTGGAGAGAGGAGAGAGGGATAAAACCTTCACTAATGGAAGCAGCACTTTTTAGTAGACATTAATTTAACAGTTACTTTAATGGTTGAGACTAGCTGTATGTCAACTTGATTGATGCGTTGTCACTTTGATAGTTAAGGTTATTGGTAGAGCTGCAGAACTGATGTATTATTACTTTAATTCTTCATTTGGGGGCTTTATTAGGGCATATGGGAATTAAAATTGAGTAACTAAAGAACCTGACTTGATTCACTGGAATCTTGATTCCAGCACAGACACAAGGGTGCCTAGTACAAAAGGAAAAGGCCCATGTTGAGGCATTTCAGAGGTTTCCAATGTGGGGACTGGTCTGCACGTTGCACAAGAATAACTTGAGCCATCCATGACATAACCTATTGGGAACCATGTGAAATGATGGTTATTACATACATCCAGTTGCTGCCCTATTACTTGCATGCTCTCCCTCTTTATTCTGCCAATCCATGACCTACCTTAGGGTGAGAGCCCTGCAGGGCAAGGACAACGCCTATAAAATAACCAGGATACAGTGGAACAAATCAAAACAAATGTGTTTAAGGAAATGTGATCCTTGCCATTGGAAATCTGCAATTAGGTTTTCAAAATGCAATCCATGCAACCTTTTCCCAAGCTTCTAGCCTTATTTGTATGATGAGCTGGAAAAAGAGTCTTACAGTTGAAATATTTCTCAACACGTCAGAGTCAAATTCCATACTTGTTCTCGGACAATCCTACTCTCTGGTTGAAAAACTCAAGTGAGGCTGTAATGCAGCAAATCACAGTGGCTTTGCCACCACTTCTAGAGATCTCATTACACAAGAAGAGAATCCTGACATTCCTCTCACACTAAACATCTGTGTCTTGAAAGAATTTCTTATCCCATGCCAACACAAAAGCTGTGCAACCCTTTATGTTCTGCATCAGAAATGCCTCTCCTAGACATCAAATCTTTTCCACCATGCACTTGATTTTTCTTCCCTATATCCAGTTTTATGTCTACTGAAGATCCCTATCAGTCATGTTTTTAAAAACTTAAATTAAAATAGCTGGTGTTAAGAACTTTAAAAAGAGCAATCATTTAACTAATTCATCTTCAAAAGGTTTCCCACCTAGCTTGATTCAGACATGATTTGCCTGCAAGGCAGCTCTAATAGGAAACATCAAGAATGATTTTGTAAAGTGTGTGCTACTAGGGAAGTATCTAGTGGGGACTCCAGACCACTTTATGCTGCAAAAACATCAGAACCGGAGTCTGGACCAAGGCTTGCTATTTACTTGTTTGGGAGGAGGCAGAGGACAGGATTGTCCTATATTCTGCCTGCTTTAAAAGAAGCATCACAAAGAAGGGGAAGGAGATATCTATCCCTGTGCAATGTTTTCACTGTTGTTATACACACTAAAAAAATACAATTTTGCCAAGCTTCCCATTTGTTTCGTCTCGTTAAACAAATTAGGAACATCCTACTGGGGTTGAAAAGATTTTCACTTATGAGAAAAACTTCCCCCTCCCCCATTTTGATCCAGTGCTAAGAGTTAACAGAGTGCGTTTTGTGAAATATAGAACATATTTAGTTAGCTTTTTAATGCCTGCAGGTTGATGTTTTCCATCTGGTTTAGACTGTGTACATTTTTTCCCTGCTGGATGTAAACTGGAAATTTGGAATACTCCTTCATTGGGCATGCAACGAAGGACTCTCAAATGACTGGGCAGTACATCCCCTAAGCATGTTTGATTAAATACCACTTTCCCTCTGGAAAGCACATATCAGATTTCTGACCTGGTAGCAAGCTAAAATCTGACAATGGATGAGAAAAGAGTCATCACTGCAGAATTTCCAGATTTTTTTAAAGATGAGGATGCCTCTTACTAGCCCCTTGCCTCTAGACTGAAAGACTGAACTCAGAAGGTCCTTAGGAATGCAGTTCTCAGATCACTTTGAATTCCCCAGTCTGCACCAAACTTGGATGAGTATTTGGCCAAATTTAAGAGTCTTCTAGTTTTCAGTATGAATGTTATTTTTTACCAAGTTCTTCCAATAAACAACAGTCATACCATGCTGCTGCTATGAACTAATTTCTGCTTAGAATTATTATTAAATTGCATTAAAGTAGCAAGAATTTCTGAATTTGTCCAGGTCATGCTGAGCCATTCCATACTCTTTCTTATATTAGGAATTTCCTCATGAGAAGAAGAAACTATACTGTAATGTTGCCTTCTGCATCTTCAGAGTTTGTATTACAGTAGGTATAAGGTTTAAAACCTAAAATATTTCCTGTGAGTTTGAAGTCCCTGTGCAGTTGCTGAAGGATAGATACATGGAAGCTCACTGAGCAACACCATCTTCAGCAGAGGAATCATCTTCTGGGTGTTCATATGTAATGTTATATTTGGGTCTGTAGAAATCTTTAAACACAGGTCTTCATTCTGCACCTCAGTGAATATTACTAACACACACTTTGACCCAAGTACTGCATTTTCTCTCCAGTGTTCACCTGATTTACCTGGCACTCTGATTGAAAATCCTTAAACAGATTTTTTTGTTTTAAATGAAAGTCTACGTATTATTTTACAACAATAGTGCACATTTCAAAAAACAAACAAAACCAAAAACCTTCTCATAGGCCAAGATGTTCTCTTCTATTACTGAGTAACTTTTTTTTGGTACAACACATTTAAATGATGCTGAAAAATTCAACCAATTGAAAGTTCAACCAAAATCAAAAGCATTGCCTCACAGTGCTAAGGATATGTTAAGTAGTTTCCTTACACCAGAAAACATCTCCATCACCAACTGTGCGCCATCAGCAACATTGGCAGAATAGCACTGAGGCTTGTATTTTTATCCAAAGCCATTTTAGCAGTTTTGTCAATTTGTTTTTCATTGCTTTACATTTACTCAAGCAGTACTTACCATCCTCAAATATTGCTCCTATCTGAAATGACAATTCAGAGCTATGTTCTGCTTCACACGGATAAACTGCTCTTGCTTTCCGGTGGGCAGCACTGAAAAATGAAATTATGATTTATAGTAAGTTTTTGCTATTATGAAGACACTCTCTCAACCATTCTGTCTCCATTCACATTTGAAGATGACTGAAAGTTTAAACACAAATTCACATGCATCCTTACAGGCTTGTAATTCATACACACAGCCAAAGCCAAAGCTTCACACCTTACTGTTGGCATTTCTGAATATCATACTCCCAACTTCATGCACACTTATTTTTATGACAAACTCGACTTTCAACCACAGTTAAAATTTTTTCAAGTGTTAATCAGCAAGGAAATCAATAGTAGGCAAAGCATACCATACTTAATTTACAGACTAACCATCATTATGTCTTCTGAAACATTTCTTCATGAATCTTGCACTTCAACTTTTCACTATCACTGTTCAGAATTCACATTTTATGTTTGTTTACAATACAACATTACTAGTCTACTGAAGATGCTGGTTTTTTCTTAAATTCCTCAAGATTTCTAACACCTCAGGCGGTCTTGTAGAGGTGTTCTCAGGAAGCTCAGTAATAAGCCATCAATATGAATTTCTCCACAGTACCCATTTGCTCCAAGCACCGTAAGCAGAGATCTTGGAATATGTAAGTATTATCGGCATGGCTTAATTAATCATGCCTTTGCAAACTGACAGTTTGCTGCTGCCCAATGATGCTTTGTTTAGACAGAGCACCCACACTATTAAATCATCTTTTGTTGAGCCCAGGCAACAACAACTACACATATAATAACAGTGGGAAAGATTCTTCCTGCCCCAAGGAACTTGCAGTCAAACAGACAATGTGGTTGTGGTGCAAAACGTAACCAGTACTGAGAAACGGGATTTTTGCTACCAAGCTTTGGGAATACATTGTGAATATATCCAACTTGAATTAGAAAAGAAAATATTATAAATAAATAAAAATATTTTCCTTCAAATATTATGAAGGTAAAAGCTGAGATGGTGAAGACCTTCAAAGGAAAAACTGAGAATACTTCCAAAGATGGACAACAACGTGGAAGGAAGCAGAAGCAAGATGGAAGAAAAGCAGGACAAAAGTGTGAAAGAAAAGAATGAAACAACAGAGAAAGATAAAAACATAGGAAAGTCTTTCAGAGGCAAGTAGGTTAGGAAGAGAAACATCTGACAAACAAAGCAACAGAAAATAAAGAATCTGTACATTAAGAGAAACACTGTAGGAGACATTAGGAATTGCCCATCCAAAACAAAGCCTTCTTGTATTAACCAGTAGGCCACTAGCCTGTGGCTAGTGTACCTTCTACCAAGGAAGGTGTTCAAAGGAAAAGACAGTGATTTTATTCTGTCAAAATTGCTAACATTGCATTTCCTGATGGGTGATAATCATTCACATAACACAGGAGATGTGAATTAGCTATTTTTAAAAACATACAGAAAAATGAGGCAAATAAATAGCCAGCAAAAGTCAAAGTATACATCGTACCTTTCCACTGCTCTGTCACTCCCAGTGGCAGGGTTGGGGAAGAAGAAAGTGGATAGTGCAGTATTTGTGGCAGCTGGATTAGCAGATGGAACATTCATCCACGAGACCATCGATGGGCGGCTTTGACCAGGGCTAAGAGGAAATATATTCAAGGTAGAATTAACAATGTGAATAAAACTTGTTAGCTTACCAAAATGTTTGAATCCTTAGACAACTCGTTAGATCTACAAATTCAAACCCAAAAATACTGCCGAGCTGATTTTGCAGAAACGGCCACCCTGTGATTCCACATTTCCTCCTTGAAGACCTTTCTCCCACATGCCCGACATCCTAAGCTAAGACAAACTACCTGAGATGTATGACATAAGCAATAAAAAGGCAAAATTCCCCATTTCTTATCTAATAAAGACAGATACAGTGAAACTGCATGTAGCAGGCTATTATTTGAGCTGCCACTTTGCCTTCACAAGTTTTGACAAATCTATTTAAAAACCTTCTCGGTGCTATACTAAGGCCCGTATGGCTGGAAAGATTTCTAACGACGCTGCAGCTATTACAACACTGGGATCATGGTGCTGGCTCCGGATTGAGATTTCATCCTCATAGCTGAGTAAATACTGCCTCGGTGGCTGCCCTCACCAACATGCTGCTCAAATCGGCATTAACTCAGCGGCTGAGCACACAGTTGCCACAGGAGGAGAAGAAATAGCAGCTAAAACTGAAACTTTTATTAGTCCTTGAAAAACATACAAAGTCCTCCCTAACATAAAGGAGATTCCTAATTTCCCACCTTAAAGAGCTAAAATGTTTCAGCACTGGAAGGCTTTCTTTCGTTGCATGGGCAAAACAACAAATAGTCCAATCACTTAATGCCAGCATATCTTTGGAACAAAGAGCTGGACTTCAAGCAGTTTCTAAGCAGAAACAGGATTAAAATCATTCCTGCATTCAGGCAGGAATCATCACTCAGAAGAACAGACTTCACAATACAGCGTTTATGAGTTCGTCTTATTCCAGTATTAACCTCTTAGATAGCATAAATCTGCAAAATACCACCAAAATCTAATAATTCAGGCAAGAAGATTTTTGTGGGAGTCTAAATTCACACCTAATCAAGGTGGATTGACCGAAAGCACAAAAGAGAACAACAACCACCCCAGTTATAAATGTAAATGAATAAAAGAAAGCAGGAAACCTAATTTAGATAGCTGATTTTAATCTTATTGTGCACTGGGATATTTAATTTCTAGGACAAAAGATCACTATTTCTTGGTTTACATAATGTGGTTTACAATCAAATTCAACTTTCACAAACTGGTTCTCCTAGCCAATATATCTCGTAGTCATTCCAGCAATTGCATATTTAAGCAGACATTAATTTTAATCATTAATTTCTAAATTTAGTACATTGTAAAGTGGTAAATGTCACGTTCCTTATTTAACAAGACAATAGACTTTCCTCTGGATCTGTGTCAGGCAGCATTTGGATGAAAACTGGAATTCACAGTGTATGAAACAGCATTCTACAGTTAATTCCACTAATAAAAATGAAACTTCAGTGTGCTGGGATCATAACTAGAGGGGTTTATCAAAACATGCTCTGCTTTTAAAAATGATTTACCACATAAAGAAAGGAATCATATGTATTAAGCTGAATGATGAGCTGGATTATGCTGACTATAACCATATTTTATGCTTAACTTTGGGAAGAGGATCTGTAGTCTTCTTAATGCATGTGAATCTTGCACTACACCATTTTTTATATTTTCCAATAATGGCATACCTTTGAAGAGCAGCACCTACATAATTTGGGGGTTTACTTTTACTTGAACTTGTTCTCTTCCTCCCATTTTTATAATAATTGAAAAATTTTCCTCAGATAAAATCCTTCTGCTAAAAGTGACCTCATTCAGAGACAAAAACAAAAATATGAAACATGAGCATTTGTATCATTTACTCTAAATAATGAGGACAAAAAAAATTCTCAGTGGTAAAGTTTATAAAGTTTGTCAGAGAGCAAATTATTTCTTCACCATTCCCCACACATAATGTATATATGAAGAATTAATTTTAGCTCAGTAGGTGAACCTAAGACAAAAGTTTTTCAAAAGTGAATTTAAAAAAATGTATCCTACTTGCATAGGCTAAACTATTCCACTTAAAACAATTCTGAGACTTAAAGAAAAAATATTTTCCTTGTGCTTCTATTTATTAAATTCAAATTGATTAAATTCAAATAGGAGGAGGTTTGGAATGAGATGGACTTTAAGTTCCCTTCCAAGCCATTCCATGATTCTGTGATTAAGATTGGTGTCAGACTCATTTCTGAAACCTGTAAAGCTACAGAAAATAGGAAAATAATATTCCAAGTATATCACCACGAGAGTATTAAAATATCTCTAATGCAAATTAATCAACATTCGAGAATATTTCACTAAGTGGCCTTCTCTCATGCATACCTCAGATGTGTGCTGTTTGATTTTCAGCAAGTGAATATTAACTCTTCCATTTAAAAAATATTTCATTGCTACATGCATAATTTTAATCTATGCAATTTACTTGATCATCTCTAGAACAACACACACCACCTGCACCTAAGATACAGAATTAATAACTTCAAAGATACTCAGAATAGAGAAGACACGAAAGGAATTCTCCAACCCAGGAAAGCAGTGGTCATTCATAAGAATACTTGTAATAAATAACAGATGATTTCTGGCTGAGACTTGGAAAGAAAAAAAAAAAAAAAAAACTACAAAAGAAAAGGTGTGCAAGTAAAGGAACAGAAGATGAAATAAAATCTTCAGATCCATGTCATGGCATGTTTATTTCTCAAGTTACAGGGGCTCAACAAGAAGTGTAATCTATCAACAAGTAAGACTACATCGTCCTTTACCAGACAGCATTATACAAAAGCATGTTAAAACTGGCAGGTTTTCTACAAATTCTGAGGCACTCCAACAGTTCAAATGGAAAAACACTCCAGAAGTGCAGGTACGTGGAGTGCCAGGCTGTTCCCTTCCCCACTTTTTTGATGAATTCCCTTAATACATTTCAGTTGTAGGGAAAGCACTGCAGCACAGCTCCTGAATTCTCCTGTCACTTGAGGTTCCTGGTTACCAGCAAGAGATTATACCCTAGGATCCAGCAGGGAAACAAAAGAAAATCCCACTTTTCAACAGCAATAGATTCACCATATTAAGAAGGGGAAAAAAATGTACAGCTTTAACTACTAAGCACATTCTGGAATTTGGGGGGGGGGGGTCTTGTTTGTTTATTTGTTTTTATTTACTGTACCTGGCTATCTCAGGAACCACTTCATTTTGTTGTTTCAAACAGAAGGTTTTACTCAGTAACAAAAATAATTTCCAATATTGTGTAAGCAATAAACTGGCTAGATTTTACTGTTTTTTTTTTTCTCAAAAATATTCTTGTGATAGCAAGGTTATCTTGCTATAAAGCTCTGCATGCCTTGTTTATCAAGATGACGACATATTAGAAAGTATTGCACATCTTATCATAGAGCATCTCAACTTTAAGAAGGTATGTTGAAGAAATCCTTTCTCCTAAAGGCTAAAATGAAGGAAATGCATTTCCTGAGGGTAGGAGAAGAAAAAAAAAAAAAAAAGCCAAGCATAACCATCTCTGTCTGAGGAAAAAAAATGCTATTGTCTAGCATAGTGAGCATTGGGAAAAGGGAGGAGGGGGGGAATGGCTTTACTGAAAATAAGCTAGAGATTTTGTACTGATACTCAGAAACAAACTCCTGAAAACAAGATTTTATTGGATGTTTATCTTGCTGGTTCCTAAGGTAACACAGCTAAAGAGCAGCCTCTTATCTTGAGAGCAAGGCAGAGACTCTGAAAAGAATCTACATGGCAACTCCTGAGGAAAAAAAAAGGAAAAAAAGGAGTTGTTTCATAGACAAGTTTGGCAGCCCCATGGCTGTCGTATCACAGCATCTGGCTGACAAACTCAGGGAAGGTGTTCTTGAAAGGCTTCATTATAAGACAACAGTATATATAAAAAGGTTCAGCTATTTCTAATTCAGTATGCGACCCAACACTGTCCACCACCAGATCTTCCTGCAAGAACCCCTAAGCCTTGGTGAGTGGGGAGGAGAGAAATACATGGGAAAAATTCTAGAAATTGTCATATACGCAGAAAAGCTGGAGACAAAATAGGACAGAATTTCCTCATCTTTGTTCCCCCCAAAAAGAAACTCTATCCTCAAAATTTCAAATATGTGACATGCACGCAACATTCCTGAACCCTCATTTATACAGAACACATCAGTCAGCACTGAAATAGAGGTTTTGTTAAACTTGGATTGCGAAGTCTCAGTGAAGCAGCTAACACATTAGTGAAATGATCTTTCACGCCAGTCTGGTAAATCCAAAGCTAATGTCTACAGCAGCTGTTCTAAGTTAAAGCATTTTTAAATGATAATGCAGACAGAGCAAAAGTGAAGTATGCACATCTATAATAGAGCTTATAGCACACTGCTGTTCCCTTTAAAGGGGAAAAAAAAAAAAAAAAAAGAAGGGGTTGTTTTCCCTGGAATCATGCAAAGAAAATAAAAGAAAAAGAGAGAAATAAAAAAAAAAGGAAACTTTTGCTCATTACAGTGCTTGCATCCACATCTTTCCCTGCCCTGAGCACACACACGACTTACCCTGTGCTCACACAGCAGTGCTGCTGTCAAGCCCACTGGAAGACAAGGAGATGGCAAGGACTATTTTGTATGAACCACATGACTAAGTTACATTATGCCTGTTTCAAAGGAGCTGCAAAATGAGGGCTCTTGCTCTGCTTGCATAACAAAAGGGTACAAAAAGAAGTGCCTGCTCCGCTAAACCCTGCTCTCAAACTGCTGAGTCACTGAAGAGGTGGCAGCTGAAACAAAAACAAACTGCAAAATAAGCACGATGACCGAACAGCTGTTAAAGCACCTTCTCTTAATAAAATAGGATGATGACACTAGATATTATAAAAAGTTTTCAAGACACAGAAAGTGAAGTCACTCATCATTTATGTAAAGTTGCAAATTCACACCACTGCCAGAAAGTACAAAAGAAACTACTACAATTTTAAGGAGACTATACATGCAGTCTACTGATGTGGATACAACA